GTGGGTCATCTCTCCATGTGGCTGTTGGCCATGTGTATAAATGAAAAGAATGAAAACTTTTCATTCTTAACTGAGTTGCAAAGTAGCGACCTCAACCCCAGGTCATATCTGGAAATTCACATTCACTGTCAAGTTTTCAAACATTACCAATCAATTGAATAGACGCACGGGCAAGCAGGAAATGCCCATTTTCAGCAGAAGCTGAAATATTTGAATCATTTTGAATCAGAAAATAACATTTCAGTTGATTGTTTCTTGGAATATTTTTTTTCTTGGTACACTTAAAATAGATTATGATTCCCAGAGCAATAATATTTAATAGGACTACACATCCAAACACTTAATACTTTGCATTAGAAGACGATCCTAAAATAACGTCATATTGCTCATCAAGTTAGCTGCTTTATATTTAATTAAATTGACCTCCAATTGAATTCCAATTAAGCAATTATATTTTTAAAGAGAAAACTTTTAGGTAAATACATCATCATCTGTTGAGATATTCAATCTTTTTTATTCTTTTATTCCTTTTTCTTTTTTTAAGCGTTTATTTAGTTTTGAGAGAGAGGGAAAGAGAGAGAGAGCAAGCAGGGGTAGGGGCAGAGAGAGAGGGAGACACAGAATCCGAAGCAGCTCCAGGCTCTGAGCTGTCAGCACAGAGCCCGACGCGGGGCTCGAACTCAGAGACCATGAGATCATGACCTGAGCAGAAGTTGATCGCTTAACTGACTGAGCCCCCGGAAGCCCCACCCAAAATATTTGATCCTTTTTAGTCTCCAGTGCTTGGTGTCCTGGCTGGCAATAAGACACAGAAAGTAATTATTTGTTGATTTGAATTTCACTAAAAATAAGCAATCAGAGGTACACAGAGAAGCCACCTATATGCCCAGGAAAAGCCTCAGGACAATACCTGTGCTTTCTCACCCCAACCGGGGTCATCAGCACTGCATATAAAGCCACACAATCCAAGTTCAAGTGCTATCCTTAGTCCTTAAGTGACTTTTCAATCTTTGCTTTTTTTGCTTCAAACCTGACTGACAACAGAAAAAAGGAGGAAGCCCACCATTTGCAGTTAACAGGTCACTTTCACATCCCAGTTGATTTGGTGGAGGAAATCCAGTAGGAGGAGGCTTCTCCTCCATGTTCCCGAACATTCTCGCTGACGGAGGTGACCAGTGGGGGCATCGCTGAGACTCAGCAGTGCTGGTCTATCAACATTATCAACAAGACAGGGTTGAGTTATTCCCTTTGAAAAAGGTATCCCTATACCTTAAAACAGGGAAAATGGTGAATTTTGCGTTGGGTGACTTTCATTTCAAGTCAAAATAGTTTGAATCAAAGTGCACTTAATGCGGTTCTACCTCTAGAGCTTACTCTTTCCTGTGTCAATAAAATGTTACTATGTCCGTGGCTGCAGCCAAATAGTCTTTTCTTTGTACACTAAAGGGTCTTGACAGATGGATCCTGTGTAAGTAACTTGTGCTTTTTAATTTGAAAGAGAATGAAAAACGTGGAGCCTGCGCTCTGAATATTAAAATGTAATGATGTATATTCTACACATTCGATACATCTACCCAAAGTTTACAATTGTGTGTCTTTAAGTTCTGGATAGAGGCGGTGAAACCTTCGGGGCCCCACTATCTAGAAAAAGGACAAAGAACCTTCCCTCCCCTGCCCCCGTCTCCTCAAGAACAAAAGGCGGCGGTAGAAAACAAAAATGTAAAAGTTACTAACAGTAACCCAAGGAGAAAGGAAGAACCACTGGACGAAATGGTCTTGGAAAAGTGCTGGCTCACAAGAAAAACAGAAGCTGGAGAGTATCACGGTGAGGTCGCCCTTCCACCTCCCAGAAACCGCATCTGGTGAGCCTACAAAACCCTGGCAGTTCTCACTCCCGTTTTGAGAAGAAAAAAGGAGGAATGCGCATGCTTCCTTTTTCCCGTTTCTGACTACGGGGTGGTGAAGATGGCTGCGGTGGGGATGAGGGGGTAAAAGAGAACCGTCAACATCCGGGCCTGGCTTCGTCACCAGGGGGAAGACTCCAGGCCCCACGCTGATGGGGGGGGGGGGGGCAGACCTGATACCCAAAGGTGCCGCCAGAGGCAGAGGAGTGGGTGACTCTTCCCTTCCCTCTGGCGGGGAAGAGCGGACCCTCCTGCGGCCAACCCAGGGTCCTGCGGGACAGAGGAGNGTGCTCAAAGACAGCAAATTAGGCATCAGAGGAGTAGGAGGCGCTGGCGCAGTAGCCAGGGAAGAAAGGGCTGTGTGCGAATCCGGGAGCTGTGGCCCGCAGGGGCGCAGAGCAGAAAGGAAGTTCTGGAGAACCGCTGCCTCCGAATGCCGGCAAGGGGATGGCCCCGAAGCAGCCCTTCTGCTAAAGACGACAGAGAATCGGCATAAGAAGAAAAGGATAAAGGCCAAGAAAGTGATAGAACAATGTCTTCAAAACCGTAAACAAAAACTCACTTCTGAACCGGAATTCTTTACAGTTCAAACTATCAAACTTGAGGGTAGAACCTTGTGGATATGGAAGTTCTTTAAAACACCTACTTCCGGAGCTCCTGGGTGGCTCATTCACTTAAGCGGCGACTACAGCTCAGGTTGTGATCTTAGGCTATATGAGTTCGAGCCCCACGTCGGGCTCTGTGCTGACAGCTCAGAACCTGGAGCTGCTTCGGATTCTGTGTCTCCCTCTCTCTCTGCCCTTCCCTGCTCACGCTCTGTCTCAATCTCTCTCTCAAAAATAAATAAATAATTAAATAAACATTTAAAAATTAAAAAAAAAAAAAAAGACAGCAATCAGTTCACAGAGAATACAGCACCAGGAGCCCTGCTCATGAGCAAGAACAGGCGGAAACACACAAGACAAACAGACTTAACACAGCAACACCAGGAAAGGAACACACTTCCCATTCTTAAATTAAAAAAGAAAAAATAATCTGTGGGAACAAGAGACTTTAAACAGTGACTGGGGAATCCCCGCGACCAACAGAGTGCAAGTTTCTCGCTAGGAGAGCCTCCCGGACTCGGAATATAGTCACAGCTGATTTACTACCGCGAAGCGTCAACGGCCAAGTCAGCAAAGGGAGAAGACACTGGGGAGAAGGAAGAAAGTTCTGGCAAAAATGTGTTGACTTTTATTTATTTAGTCATTTTTAAAGATTTTATTTTTTATGTATGTATATATATAAATGTTTATTTATTTTTGAGAGAGAGAGAGAGAGAGAGCAAGCAGGGCGAGGGGCAGAGAGAGAGGGGGACACAGAATCCAAAGCAGCTCCAGGCTCTGAGCTGTCAGCACAGAGCCCAGTGCAGGGCTTGAACTCAGTAACGGCAAGATCATAACCTGAGCCAAAGTCTGAGGCTTAACCCACTGAGCCCCCCAGGCGCCCCTAAAGATTTTATTTTTAAGTTGTCTTTTAGGAAGGTTTCTTTCCTAGGGATCCGATGATTGTAACATTTGTTTCAACATTAAACATTTGTTTCAACGTTAACTTATTTATTTATTTATTTTAATTTATTTCTAGGAGAGAGAGAGAGAGAGAGACAGCGTGAGCAGGGGAGGGTCAGAGAGAGAGGGAGTCACAGACTGAAACAGGCTCCAGGCTCTGAGCTGGCAGTCAGCACAGAGCCCGACGCGGGGCTCGAACCCACGAACCGCGAGATCATGACCTTAGCGAAAGTCGGACGCTTAACCGACTAAGCCACCCAGGCGCCCCTCAACGTTAACTTTAAAATGACTCAAAGGTGAGGATGACCACAGCAGCGCCAAAGGGTGGCGCATGGGGACAGACGAGAACTTCATCTCCACTAAGGGCCCCTAAGGAAACACAGAATCTTAGTAAACGCGGCTGTTTGCTCTCACACACAGATTCAAAACTGGACCTGACTGTCCATTCCAGCAACAGTGCTCGCTCTGGAAACATCCTCTCTGCAAGCTGTGCTGCCCCTGTTTAGGGATGGCTATTTCATCTGTTTGAAGCACAATTAATACAGCAAATTAACAAATACAGCAAATATAATAAAAAATCCTTCACTTGAGTTAAAAATTTAATGACAAAAATGGATGGAAGAGAAGGTCCAAGTGGGATAGACCGGGCTCCGATCAGTGTCCATGGCAGTTATAATCTAACACACTACATACTTTGTTTTGATTTTTTCTTTCTTTTCTTTTCTTTTCTTTTCTTTTTTTTTTTTGGCTCAGGGCACAGCCTTTTAAGACACGTGCTGCCAGCCTCTCCTACCAAGATCATGAGGGTCTGGGAACTGTTCTACAGGGAAGATTTTAAAGGGGGCTGTTCCAACAGAAAGAAACGGGGAGAGGGGATGGTGGAGAGGGCCTAGACAGGTGTTTCTAGAACAATTTTTCCAAACTACAGTAAATGTTAGACTTCATTTATTTAGCTCCGGACATAAGAGTCGGTTGTGGGTAGAAAGAAGCAAGTTAAGCTCACTGTCAAGAGCCTGGCTGCAATGCGAGCCCTCGGAAAAGAGCCGCGCGGACCAGCTGGGCCCATCCAGAGGCCGCGGTGAGGTCTGATGCCCACCGACACACAGCCCAAGGTCACCTCGCGGGACTGCGAAGGCCTCGTGCGTCAGAGCAGCAGGAGCACCCTGGGGTGGTGACCAGGACTACCTGGCACAGTGAACACGACTCTTCTTCCCAAGCAACCACGAGGCGAAAGGGGCGCGCCCCTGACAGCTGCGGCCGCTTCAGAGAGCCAGGTGGCCGGCGGGCCAGGTGGCCGGAGCTTCCTGTTGACGGCACAGCCCCTTCTCTGTTTGGGAAGGCCCCCCGGCGCGGACCTCAGTGCCTGGAAGGCAGGGCGCGGGGGGACCTCGGGGCGGGCCCCGGGCGCGGGGGCACCGGGGCGCGCGGGCGGCGGGGCGGGCCCGGGGCGCTGGGGCGCGGCGGCCGGGAGGAAGTGCGGGGCCTGCCCGGGCGCGTTAAGGAAGTTGCCGAAAACGAGGAAGCGCCTCTCTCTGGGTGGCTGAGCGACTCCAGCAGCGGGAGGAGCGAGGAGGAGCGGGCGGCCCCGCGCTGCGCCCCGAGCCGTCCGGGCCCCGGCCCCGCGCCCCGCCCTCGGCTCACCTGGCACAGGTAGGTGTGCGGCGCGCGCTCTCCGCCCGGCAGCGGGGACGCGGAGCCCGCGGGCACCCCTGCGCCCCCGCCGTCCCCCGGGCCCCGGGCCTGCGCGCCCCGGCGGGGCAGGTGCGCGCAGGGCCCTCGGCCTTTGAGGAACGAGGGGCAGGCGGCGCCTGGCGAGCTCAGACGGGTAGGTGCCGCCAGCTTCCCTTGCCCTTGAACCCAGGGCGCCGGGCCCGGGCGCGGCCGTGCGGAAGCCGCGGCGCCGGCGGCTCGCGGGGCGCGAACGTTCTCGTGTGGCCGGGGCTGCAGCCGCTGGAAAATTCCACCGTGTTTGTCGGAGAGGCTCGTGTCAGATGCTCACACGCCCGCGGAGCGCTTAACCCCTAGGCGGCTTTTCCTGCACAAAGAAAGAGCAGTTGCGTAAAAACCTGAGCCTCCCCGGGCCACCGCTAAAATTCGCCTGGATCGCGCCTTTGGACACGTTTTCGTGGTGAAGTGGCTTCCGCAGCCAGTGAGTGACTTGGGGAAAGAAAGGAAGTTCTCTGTGGGACATGGAGGTTTGAGTTACGTACGGCCTGGGCAAAATGGCTCCAAAACCTTAAACCCTTCGTGACTGCAGAGGCGATTCCGCTCTTGGTATATTTGAAGGTCGGAGAACTGGAAAAACTGTCATCGGAGAAGTGACAGTTTGAACCCTTTTTACGTTGCAAACTGGTGCGAGTTATGTTTCTGACCAGAAGTTAGTGTGCCGGGAGCGGGGGGGGGGTGGGGGCGGGGGTAGGAAGGAGCTGGAAATACCCCATTTCTGAATCTTCTAGGGAAAAAGGAGTTCATCTGGTGAGGACTTGGAATTCCTGGAAGAAGGGGGAAATGGTTCTAACATCTGAAGTCTTTGTTTTAGTAAGAACAGATCTGCTGCCGCTACACAGGCAGTGCTCCAGTGAAATGCAACTCAATTCATTGATGTGCTCTCGCACCCCCACCCTCATCCCCAGCCTGCCCCCCAAAAAGTGCAGATGGTGCATGAATGTATCTGTCCTTGAGCTCAAACGTTTAAAAACTTGTAGAGTTATGGGGTGCCGGGGTGGCTCAGTTGGTTAAGCTTCTGACCTTAGTTCAGGTCATGATATTGCAGTCCTTAAGTGGGACCCCCCCAAGCCCCCCATGGGCTCTGCACTGACAGCTTGGGAGCCTGGAGCTGCTTCAGATTCTGTGTCTCCCTCTCTCTCTCACCCTCCCCTACCTGTGCTCTGGCTCTCTCTCTCTAAAAAAAAATGAATAAATGTTAAAAAAAATTTTTTTTTAACTGTAGAGTTATTAGGTGTTTTAAATGAGAAATCTTATCTGTTAAAATTATTTTATAAAGTCATTGTGTTCTGTCTACATCATACTTCGGATGTATTTACAGAAATGCTGCGGTGAAATAGAAACTGATGTGCATTCTCTGTATATGGTGTGCTTCCTTACGAAGGTTTCATAAAGTCTTAATAACCAGGAAGTTATTAATGTTTGAAGCTAGGATAAATAATGTGATGTATATTTTAGGTCTTTACCTTTCCTCAGGGATGAAATGGATGGAAAGATAATTTTATTGCTAGATCTTTGTCTCCCATTAACCTTCTTTAGGCTCATGTTCAGTAATCTAAGTGCAGGTCTGATTTCTCTGGTTTTTTAATTTTATTTATTTTTTAATGTTTTTATTTATTTTTGAGAGAGAGAGAGAGACAGAGCATGAGCAGGAAGGGGCACACAGTGGGGGAGATACAGAATCTGGAGCTGTCTGCCCAGAGCCTGACACAGGCTGGAACCTAGGAACCCTGAGATCATGACCTGAGCAGAAGCCGATGCTTAACCAACTGAGCCACCCAGGTGCCCCTGATTTCTCTCTTTTTAAACCAAAGACTCCTTAGCCGGGTATCACTCATGCAGCACATACATTATTTTTTTCCAAGACCCTCGTGCTAAGGTATGTTTTGGAATCCTCGTTTTCCACAATTTAGGATTCAAATTTAGAATCTCAGTGTCAGCATTGAAGAAATTGTTTCTCAGAACTTGGAAAGGCCTGTGCGCGCTGACGCCGAACGTGAGACTGCGCAGTGCAGGCCGCACGACACCTCACAGGCCCGCCCGTTTGGGTATCTGTGACAAAGGGGCGACTCGTCTGCCCGGTGCAATAAACAGACCATAAACAGCTGTGTGTCCGTTCAGGGCAGATGCCGTCACCACGTGAGGCTCCCTAAAACTTACCTCCAAACCTTATCTTTCAGAGCTCTTCTGCATTAGGACTCAGGGACCCTGTTTGACTCCTTGGTGCTACTTTTTACTTTTGAAAATAAATGGAATTTCTCCTGTCCAGTAACCGACACCCCCTGTAATTAAGTGGGCAGTTTCCCCTTTCTGGGAAGTCTGAAATAGCGAGACTGAGCGGAAATTTCTTTGATGACACTTGCAATGTGGATCTAAGCGAGAACGAGACGTTTCAGCCTCACTGACAGGCACTCTGTTCTCCCCACGGCAAGCGTTTGGTCGGTCGATGATGTGAGAGCAAGAACGGAGAGCATGGCCACCCCGGGTTGCTGAGGCGTGTTTCCTGTTCTCTTCACAGCTGCTCGCTCTCCGTCCCTGATCCATGGAGGGTGGCAAGGCACTTGTTGCAATCGAGCTAATTTTTGCCTTCTTGGCTCTCACTGTATAGATTTTTTTCCAACAGCCCCCTATCCTTACCTCCTCTTTCCCGCCCCCTTCCCCAATTGCAAGTTTTGACATTTTTCTTCTGTTTCTGGATCGGTGTCGCTGTAAACGAGTAGAGAAACAAATAGGTCTTTAGGTCCTTGAGGGAGAATTTTTTTTAAATTTTTTAATGTTCAGTTTTGAGAGAGAGACAACTTGAGCAGGGGAGGGGCAGAGTGAGAGGGACACACAGAATGCAAAGTAGGCTCAAGGCTTTGAACTGTCAGCCCAGAGCCTGACACGGGGTTCAAACCCACACAAGGTCAGATCATGGCCTGAGCTGAAGTCTGACACTTAACCGACTGAGCCACCCAGGCGCCCTGAGAATTATTATTTTTTAAATGTTCACGTGCTGAACTTCTGTTTTCCTCCTTGGACTTGACATTGTCTCAAGTTATTCTTTGTCACTTGGAAAAACAGATTTTTGTTTTGTCCTGTTTTTGACTGAGGAGTTGTGGAAAGATGCGCACAAAACTAGACTGGGCAGATATTAAAGGAAAATGCGTTCCTTCATTTTGAGGGTTTAGGAGCAGGGACACTTTCTGTGAGCTTGCAGTCTTTCCTGACAAGATGTTAGCCTGCGTCCATTGGAAAATTGTTTGCTTTGTACCATAATTATGTAAGTTTTGCCCGATGAAACTTGAAAGGTGGTTGGATTGAAATCTTAAGTACAGTCACATTTAGCCACAGTCAAAGATACTACTAGAAAAAAGACTTCCTAGCGTTGGATTACAGTGGGTTTAACAAATCAAAAATGACTCTCTTGAGTCTTCCATTTCTGGAAACCACCAGAAATGGTTTTTGGAGGTTGCCAAGGGCTGATGGTAGGAGGAGGAAGTAGGTATTGAGTGAGTATCGGTGACGCCCCAGTTACTAAGGAGGGTGGACTAATGGCTTCTATGATGGATGGTATCTGGTAAAGCAGCATCCAGCGTCCTGGGGTACCTCGCTCTGATGCTGGGGTCCTGGCTCCTGAAACAGAGAAGGCACCACCCCTCTGGAGGGGGTCCGGGCCTCTCGGCTTGACCCACTAGATGGGAGATGCTTGATCTGAACTTGGGCTGAGCCAGCAACAGGGCCACAAGGCTGGTGCCAGGGCAAGTCAGGCCCAGGCCCAGGCATGGTCAGGACAACCAGTGGGCCGCGTGGGGGAGGATGGCCGAGGGCCCAGAGCCTAGTTTTAGGAAAAGCCACCACTTAGATATTGGCTTGTTTATCTATGCTCTGTGTGGGCTACAAAGAGCGTCCGAATATCCAATGTCTGACCTTTACCGTCCCACTGCAGCTGTTTGTCATAACTGAGAAACCCTCATTCTGTTCTGGTCAGTCTGATAATTTCTGTTTCTGCCCACTTGTCATGGAAACGTTCAGGCGTGACTAGAGTTGAGTTTGGTTTTTATTAAATTCTAATTTATAATGATACGTTCCCACCCTCTAGTGCTGTTCCCCAAAGCTATCCTTTTCATCTTTTCAGCTATTCCTTCTAGAATCTTCCACCGTATTTCCTGAAGATAGGCTCATTTGTTCTTGTTTTCGGTGTATCAGTTTTAGACGGTGTCTGCCAAATTCCTGCTTTGAGAAGGGAGCCCTGGGCTCTTCCGGACCACCACCCGCTCATGCTGTCACTTGGGGCTGAGAAGCCGATTTGGTATTGGCTGTGATGACAGTAATGCTCAAGCGAGGTGTGTGAGACAGTTCCGGTGTATTCCCCTTGGTTGTTTTCCCTGGGTAAACTCTTGCTTCTGTGTTCTCCCGTCGGCTCTGTGCCTGTTACACCCGTCTCCCCAGCTCTCTGACTGGGGACAGTCACTCCCCCAGTCACAAAACTCACCCCGCCCCCCCCCCCCCAACCACCAAGTCAAACACACCAAGCAACCCATCAGGTCGTTTTTCTCTTTTCCGGGAGCCCTTCTTGCTCTCACTGGAGTCTGGCGGTGGCTCTTCAGCCCCGCACATGCCTGTCAGAAGCCTGTTCTGGGAAGGTGGTTGACTAAGTACATTTTCTACCAAGTGCCCGTCGGACCTTTGCTCTACCATTTGGGGTCTTAACCTACCTCTGATGAACGTTCACATACAGTTTACTCGTTATAAATCCCTGGTCGTAACCGTTGAAAACATTTCCTCAGAAATTTTATTTCTATTATGCATTTCATATGTGTATATGACATATATGATGTATGTTTTATTTACATATATAATACATGATACACATATATACACATGCTTGTAATATATATAATAACTCCAATGTGACAGCTGGCGTCTACATTTTAAGTCAGTCC